ACTTGTTTGTTTTCATTGGTGCATTTGCTTGTCCTTTCTTCTATTGCATATTCCATATTGTTGTTTGAGGTTGAGATGAGCTTGTGGAGGCTATTTCCCCACACCAATTTCCTCCCTCATTCCATGTTTGCATTCTTATATTGTTTATGTTATTCTTGTTTCCTCTGTTGTCTCTTTACCCCTTAGGACCTCTAATATCTCTTGTTCAAGAGAGGCTATGATAGAAATTAGGATCTTAACCATGTATGACAACATTATATAGTTTCATTCCCCTTTCATCCTAACTTTAGGAGCATTATGCATGACAACTTTAGGGTCCAGTTTCCCCTTAGTTTGTGTCTTTCTTTTCTCATCTCCTAAACAATCCAAAACACCTAATAAAGGTTAATGAACATTGTACGTTACGAGTATTAAGCTACTTGGGAAATGGTTGTTGAAGGGTTTCCTTTCAATGGCTTGATTGTTTATTATAGCACCCTTTGGGTGATATGCGATGCAATCACTCCTAAGTCATAGTCTCTAGTGCGATATGAATTGCAAACCAACTCAAAAACACTTCTTCTCTAAAAAACACAAAAACAATCATTCCAACTTATTTTTGCCCTTTGGGGCCTTTAACCTTTGAGAAATCATTTTCATAACAAGAGTGTTGTTAACTCTTAGTTCTATCGCAAACGGTAACGTCTAAGTCTCCCATGCTTGAGCTGCATACACCAACTGCTAGAACTACTTGTTAACCCTACTCGTCTAAAAACAGTTGAACAAACCTGTGTTCCCCGTTAGCCCGAACTGCGTTTGCTCTGATTTATCATACCATACGAGGATACGTAGGCACGAGACGCGATGTCTTGGCGAGCAACCTTCCCCCCTTTCACCCGTAGTTAGTCGAACTACGTTGACTCTGACTTCTCATTCCAGATGAGATACGTAGGAACAAAGCGTCGTTGCTTTGCCGAGTCATTTCTTTTCTTTTATCCTCAAGCCTGTAGTTAGATAGTTTCAATCACCCTTTTAGATAGACAACAAGCATGAATCCCGTCGAGTACGACAGACATGAGGGGTGCTAATACCTTCCCCTTGCGTAACCTACTCCTGAACCCAAGATTTGGTTGTGATGACCGATCTTATCCCTGTTTTTGTTAGGTTTTATCTGAGCGTTTCCTTTCCCTCTCTTGGGATAAATAACGCACGGTGGCGACTCTTCTGTCATTGCCGGCCCTCAATTTTCGCAGTAGCGACAATGTGCTTTAAACCTTCCGAACCTTCACTTGAGGACCTTGTCAAGCAAATGGCTATAAATGATCTTCAGTTTCAGCAACAAACAGATTCAAGTCTTCAGGATTTGCAGGCACAGATTGAATAGCTTGCCACTATAGTGAATGCCATGCAGCAAGCTCAAGAATCAAACCAACCACCTGCCCAAACAGTAGTGAATCCAAAAGAGTTTACTTCTAATTTAGTTGATGATACTTATTCTGAATTGTGTTTTGATTTTCCATCATTAGCAGATTTTGATGATACTTACTCTTGTGATTCATGTACCGACACTAACATTTTCTCTGTTTGTGCTGAGATTAATGTTGTCGTACAGGGTGATGTTTTTCATGAAGATGAAGTTGTTTATGTAGCTCAAACTCTTAACATCACGGCTGCCCCAACCTCACCATCCATTGAACAACCTCCCCCCTTGGAGCTTAAACCACTTCATAACAATCTGAGTTATGCTTATTTAGATACAGATAAAAAGCTTCCAGTTATAATTTCTTGTAACCTTGATTCTTATAAAGAAAATAAGCTTTTTCAGGTTTTGAAGAAACATAAGAAGAGACTTGGATGGACCTCGATTAAAGAGGGAAGAAAAGCAGCGAGACAACCCTTTAATCCTTTGTCCTCTGATGTTGTGGAAAAGGATATCACATTTACGTGTCCATTCGACACTTTTATTTATCGAAGATTCTTATTTGATCCTGGAATAAAAGGCGAAGGCACTAATATAAATTTCAAGGGCGATGGATGCTATCCAAAGTTACTCCCCACTTTGGAAGAGGAGACTGCATGAAATCTCTCTTTGGGAAAGGATGCATATGTGATCACTTATCCACCTTGACTCCTCCGGTGTGTTCTTTCCGTTCTCTCACTCTTATTTTATTTTTATGTCCTTTCATTGAGGGCAATGCTTGTTTTAAGTCTGGGGGAGGGGAACTTTTGTTTTATTTGCTTGTTTTACTATTTTGTTTTGTTTTCAGTTATAATAATAAAAATTAAAAAAAATTGCATCTTTTTGAAAGTTCTAGGCTAAAGACTAATTTGAGATTAGTTTACGGAGACTTGGGAAAAATTCACAAGATCGGTATCGTCTTAACACCGTAAGTCTCCTGCATGTGGAAATTGATTTGAACATTCTTTATGTTTTAGCCTTAAATTTTCATTCTCTGACAACTCTTGTCTAGTTTATTTCAGCAGTCAGCACCATCTCATACACACTCTACGCAGGGAAGCCGATGAATATAAGTGAGTGATCAAATTTTTAGCTTGAAAAAAAAGAAGAAGAAGATGGAATACACCTTAACGGATGTAGAGCCTTACAAAAAAGTTGGAAAAAAATTACTCGTTGTTAGTTGGTTCAGCGGTTTCTGGTGCTGAACTTGGTAGGGAAGATTACGGTCCGATTCCCCGCAACTACAACTAAGTAAGCGAAGGGTTATGCCACGTAAGTACCAGAACCCCAAACAAAAAGGATCAGAGTCACTAACCGGTCGCCTTGCTATGAGTGTGTGGAGATAATAGGCTTAATGTGATTGCTCCTGAATGAAAAAGAGCAAAAAGGAGGAAGAGTAAGTTAGGCTTTAACATAATAGCATGATTTAAGTTGATTTGTGTATTCAGGAGGCGTTATGTCCGCACAATTGTGGATTAGTGTTTCAACGATATCCTTAGTGTGTAAGATTAGTACCTATCGATGCAAACTTAACCGAAGAAGACTTAAAGCTTGAAATGAGTAACTGTTGATGTGTTTGTGCTTTCTTTGTTTTGTTTCATCTCGTCCGACGTCGTTACCTGCACTGCCTCCCGCGCGAACCTTTCGATGTACTTCTGAAGGGGTTCGTCGGGGGCCTGGATTATGGCGCCCAACACGACCTCTGTCTTCGGATGGCGCCGGGATGCTGTGAAGTGCCTTGAAAAGAGATCCTTCAGGACCCTCCACGACGTGACCGATTCTGGCCCTAGACTTTTGTACCACGTCATGGCACCTTTCCTCAGCGTTGTCGGGAAGAGTTTGTATTTGATAGCTCATCGGACATTTCGGTAGTCGAGCATGGCCTCGATGTCTTCTAGGTGGTCGTCTGGGTCGGAGGTACCGTCATACGTCGAGAGTGTTGGGGGCTTCTCCATCCCGTGGGGGGATGGGAGCCGCCATAATCTCTCGGGACAAGGGGGTCCTGTAGTCGTCCTCGTCACTGAGAGTTGACGACTGAGGGGGTGATGGCCCTGGTGGCAGAGGTGCTTGATTTTGCGTCCTCGGCCTCCTGACCGGAGGTTCGACCCTCGGAGGTCTGGTCGGGGGATCCCCCCTGGCAGGTCGTTGCTCCCAGACTTGTCTCCTTGGCGACCGGGTCCGTTCCCGCACTACTTTGGGTTAGGGCCTTTCTAACCGGGGTCGATGATTCCTGGGAAGAGGGGATGGACTCCTCGAATTTCTGTTCTGGTCTTCCTACAGACGGCGCCACTGATCTGACCTGATCAGAAGGGGACCACTGACTTGCCACACGCTGTTGATCTACTACCTGTTCACCGGTGTTGAGTAGGAGATAGGGGGTATACCTGCAAGACACTCTGATCCCAAAGTAAGAGTTTGGACAGAGTGACAGCAAATACAGAAAATGATAAGAAGAGAATACCTGACCCTCTAGTGAAAGAGGGTATTTATAGAGAGACCCTAGCGCAGGGCCAACGATCATTTGAGTTAGGCTGGATGGCCAGGCCCAACCCAAGTGACTGCTAGGGCTTACGTGGCGTAGTGAAGACCAGGACGTGGTCTTCGCCCTAGTTCAACTGTCCTGTGATCTCCGGAAAGTGGGTTTGACTTGCTCTTTCGGAGGTGGGCAGTTGGTTGGTGACGTGTCCCTGCAGAGGGGAGCACGTGGAGAACGTGTGAAGGACACGTTGTTTTGTCCGACAAGAGAGAAGGTTCTGCCAGCGGGGGGACATTGCCTATCCGGCGGGGACTCTGTGCTTGAAGGTTGTGGCCCAAGCTGGATTGAGCTTGGCAGAATATCATTGGGCTGGACCTGTCCGGTCAAGCCGGGGCCCAGGCCAGAACAATTAATTTTAAATTTTAAATAAAATTGGTACAAGTTCTTTTATATTGAAAAAATCATTTTTATTTACTGAAAAAAATTAAGTCATCTTGGAAAAAAATTTATTTACTGAAAAAAATAAAACAATATTTTTTTTTGAAAAAAATTTTAAATTTTTTTTTAATTAAAAAAATTGACTAATTTGATTTTTATATTAGATATGGATGTCCAAATTATGAATTTGGTTAAAAATATATCCAAAAATAGATTTAGTTAAAATCATACTAATAATTAATCGATTTTTAATAATCGATTATTTAAATAACTGGTTTATTAATTGTGATATTTAATTTTGACACTGAAAAAAACAACTCTTAAAGTTTATAATCCCAGTCACCCATTTACCAACTTTACTGTTCTTCTTTTTCCTCCATACTGCCGTCCTCTCTCTCTCTCTCTCTCTCTACACACTACCACCACTATTGACCTGTCGTGCAAATTTCACACCTTCTTCTTCATTTTCATCAACCCAAACAACACAGCACAAGTATTCTATGTCTGAAATGATTGGATCATGTTTTTTAATGTTGTTTATTATCTTCTGATCCAATCTTCAACAACACCGTAAAACCCAAACAAAAGTTTTAAATTATGTTTTTTTCAAGATCTAGTTAAGTCAAAGTCAACTATTCTGGCACAACCATGATGGAAACTGAAAACGCATCTGGGAATTCCTTCATGCAGAACTCATCATCACGTACATCTTTTGGTCACTCAGGGTCCAAACCTGCGAGGCATGGTTCAAACTCAAAGGCTGATTCTGAAGCTTTCAGTATGTCTCAGAAAGAAATCAGTGATGAAGATGCTAGGTTGATTTATGTGGATGATCCTGATAAGACAAATGAGAGATTTGAATTTTCTGGGAATTCAATTCGTACGGGAAAGTATTCTTTTCTCACTTTTCTTCCTAGGAATTTGTTTGAACAGTTTCATAGAGTTGCTTATGTTTATTTCCTTATCATTGCTATTCTTAATCAGTTACCTCAACTAGCTGTTTTTGGGAGAGGTGCTTCACTTTTACCATTAACTATTGTTCTTCTTGTTACTGCTGTTAAGGATGCTTATGAGGATTGGAGGAGACATAGGTCAGATAAAGTTGAGAACAATAGGTTAGGATTGGTTTTGGTGAATGGTTGTTTCGTTGAGAAGAAATGGAAAGATATTAGAGTTGGTGAGATTATTAAAATCAATGCTAATCAACCAATTCCTTGTGATTTTGTTTTGTTGTCCACTAGTGATCCTACCGGTGTTGCTTATGTTCAGACTCTTAATCTAGATGGTGAGTCGAATTTGAAAACTAGGTATGCGAAACAAGAGACTCAATTTAAGTTTCGTGATAAGGAGAGGTTTAGTGGTTTGATTAAGTGTGAGAAACCGAATAGGAACATATATGGATTTCAAGCTACAATGGAGGTTGATGGGAAGAGATTGTCTCTTGGTTCTTCCAATATTGTACTCAGAGGATGTGAACTTAAGAATACTAATTGTGTTGTTGGTGTTGCTGTGTATTGTGGCCGTGAGACCAAAGCTATGCTCAACAATTCTGGAGCTCCGTCTAAGAGGAGCCGGCTCGAGAGTCAGATGAACTCTGAGATCATCATGCTTTCTTTCTTTCTTGTAACTTTGTGTACGGTCACTTCAGTTTGTGCCGGTGTTTGGTTAAAGCAAAACAAAAGTAAATTAAACCTATTGCCTTATTATAGGAAATTGGATGTTTCCAAGGGAAAAGAGGCAAATTATCAATACTATGGATGGGGAGTGGAAATCATTTTCACGTTCCTCATGTCAGTTATAGTTTTCCAGATTATGATCCCTATATCCTTGTACATTTCTATGGAGCTTGTCCGTGTTGGTCAGGCCTATTTCATGATCAAAGATTCCAGATTGTATGACGAGGCAACAAATTCAAAGTTTCAGTGCAGGGCCTTGAATATCAATGAAGATTTAGGGCAAATTAAATATGTTTTTTCGGACAAAACCGGTACTCTCACCGAGAACAAGATGGAGTTTCAATGCGCCAGCATCTGGGGTGTTGATTACAGTTCTGCTAAAGTCAGTCTTGAGAATGAGCAAGTTGAATACTCTCTTCAAGGTGCAATTTCTTCTTCAATTATGCTTGTCTGTTGTTCTAATATACCATTTTTCATCTTTTGTCATTAACATGATGTGTTTATTGTGTCATTATTTGGTCTCAGTGGATGGAAAGGTCTTGAAGCCAAAGATGTTGTTCTAATATACCGTTTTTCATCTTTTGTCATTAACGTGATGTGTTTATTGTGTCATTATTTGGTCTCAGTGGATGGAAAGGTCTTGAAGCCAAAGATGAAGGTGAAAGTTAATGAAGAGCTTTTGCAATTATCAAAAAGTGGATTTGCAAACCGAGATGGAAACCGGATTTACGATTTCTTTCTTGCACTCGCAGCATGCAATACTATTGTGCCTCTTGTTATTGACACATCTGACCCTAAAGTTAAGCTGGTAGATTATCAAGGGGAATCACCAGATGAACAAGCTTTGACTTATGCTGCTGCTGCCTACGGCTTTATGCTTATTGAACGAACCTCAGGTTACATAGTCATTGATATTCATGGAGAAAGACAAAGGTATGTTTATTTTTTTTAATAATTGCATTTTTTTCTTTTTCTAACTAAACACTCATTTTTCTGTTGAAAATTGACAATCTAAAATAACTCGGTGTTAACGGTTTTGTATTTATACGGTTAGTATATTAGTTGTTCCGTTAGTATTTTATCCTTCACGGGGGTTTGAACCCTGGCCTTTTGACTCCTTGAACTCTTGAATTAGGTTCCTGAGTAGCCCTCCTTTTAATGAATGTTTCCATTATGGGCTATGCAGGTTCAATGTCTTGGGTTTGCATGAATTTGATAGTGATCGGAAAAGGATGTCGGTTATATTAGGATACAATGACAATTCAGTGAAACTTTTCGTCAAAGGGGCGGATACATCAATGTTTAGTGTAATCAATAAATCATTGAACACAGACATAATACAAGCAACAGAAACCCATCTGCAGGCGTATTCTTCCATCGGTTTGAGGACGCTTGTTATTGGGATGCGTGACTTGAATCCTTCAGAATTTGATCAATGGCACTTTGCTTTTGAGGCAGCAAGTACTTCTTTGATTGGTAGGGCTGCTTTGCTTCGTAAGATTGCAACCAATGTAGAGAATAACCTATGCATATTAGGCGCTACCGCTATCGAAGATAAACTGCAACAAGGTGTGCCAGAATCTATTGAGTCTCTAAGGCAAGCTGGTATTAAAATATGGGTATTGACGGGTGACAAGCAGGAAACCGCAATTTCTATTGGCTACTCCTCAAGGCTGCTAACAAACGGCATGACTCAATTTAGAATTAAGAGCCATAATCGAGAGTCGTGTAGAAGACATCTACAAGATGCACTTCTCATGTCTAGAAAAAATGAGGTTGGCAATTATTTTGACGGAAGTTCCATTGATGTTGTTTCAACTCCGATGGCCTTGATTATTGATGGTACAAGCCTTGTATATATTCTTGACAATGAACTTGAAGAAGAGGTACGTGCTCACAGATCTCAGATCAATGGCGTTTACAAAGCATGAAAGCTTATCTCTTATGTGCTGATTTTATTCGTTGCTGCTGATTCCAGCTCTTTGAACTTTCACAAAGATGCTCTGTTGTTCTATGTTGTCGAGTGGCTCCCTTACAAAAGGCTGGAATTGTGTCGCTCGTGAAGAAAAGGACATCTGACATGACTCTAGCTATTGGAGATGGTATATCTTCTGTTAACTTGTTTCAGATTCTCATTTCCAGAGAACAGAACATGTGTGCAAAGAAAATGAAAAAGAAAGAAAAAACACTGATTAAAAATAGATTTTTTTCACCTGATTTATGCTTTTTGTAAACAATCTCTATCATTGATGTGTTATAGGTGCTAATGATGTATCAATGATCCAAATGGCTGATGTTGGGGTTGGCATCAGTGGACAGGAGGGTAGGCAAGCTGTAATGGCTTCAGATTTTGCAATGGGGCAGTTTAGGTTTTTAGTTCCTCTCTTATTCATACACGGACATTGGAATTACCAACGACTAGGCTACATGGTGCTATACAATTTTTACAGAAATGCTGTCTTTGTTCTAATTCTATTTTGGTAAGTTATAATTCAGGTTATGCATATATATGTAGATGCTTTCATCATGCAATTTTATTGTTTGTGTATGCTACAGACAGCACTTTCACAAATGTATTTCCAATTGTGTGTCAGCACTCAGCACGCTTGCATGCATATCTGTTTCTTAGTTCATTCTGTTGGATCTGATGTACTTGTGAGCATGCAATTCATACCTACCTGGTGGCTTTTAACCTGCTCAATGCACTACTATTGCTTGCTATGTTGGCCTATGTTTTCTCGTGGATGTTCTAAACGGTTGAAATTGTAGAGTTAGGTGAACACATGGTGCCACTTTGACTTATATATTTTCCAATTAGACGCCAATTAGGTCAAATTCATTCATAAAAACTCTTGTGAAAAAACGGTGGTCATAGGTAGTAGCTCTTATTGGTTTTTATGATGCATGGTTCCAAATTTTGGCATCTTACTATCTTGTTGTGTTTCTTTGCCTACCAGGTATGTGCTCTTCACTGCCTTCACTGTGACAACTGCTATAAACGAATGGAGCAGTGTGTTGTATTCAATAGTCTACACTGCAGTGCCAACTATTGTTGTTGGTATTCTTGACAAGGATCTTAGTAAAAGGACTCTCCTCCATAATCCTCAGCTTTATGGGGCTGGACAAAGACAAGAGGCCTACAACAAAAAATTGTTTTGGTTGATGATAGCCGATACTTTATGGCAAAGCATTGTTGTCTTCTTTGCTCCTCTCTTTGCATATTGGGGAAGCACCATAGATATAGCAAGCATAGGGGATCTTTGGACTCTTTCGGTAGTTATTTTGGTCAATTTGCACTTGGCTATGGATGTAATCAGGTGGAGTTGGATTTCTCACGCATCCATTTGGGGGTCTATCATTGCAACTTTCATATGTGTCATGATTATTGATGCTATACCGTCACTTCATGGTTACTGGTACATCCTATCTTCCCCATTCTCTCTTTTTTACATTTTTATACAAATGAATCCAATGCAGTACCATGCGGGAAAAGATAAAGCATGTTGCAAATGTAATACGACTTATATAGTGGTTATACGTGAGCATACATACATTGTTTTGTAATTGTATACATAAAAACTGACCTTTACATTCATTTGTACAAAACTTTGCAGGGCCATCTTTGATGTTGGAGGCACTGCATTGTTCTGGTTATGTTTAATTGGAATACAAATAGCAGCATTGCTTCCCCGTTTTGTCGTAAAATTCATTCATCAATATTATTGTCCCAATGATATTCAGATTTCAAGAGAGGTAGAGAAGTTTAAGAATCCAAGGATCAATAGAAATGCAGAGATAGAAATGTTTCACATCTCAAATCCACAAAGATAACACTAATATTATTTATTTTGTAAAGGTTATTCATTCTTTAGGCTACGTCAGAATATTATCACGGTTGGTTGCCATGATTTCGGCTATATTTGGTAACACGGCCACTCACCGCCGCCTCACGATTAGTATCCTTTCTACCGTGATTTTGTGAAGATGCAATTTGTAGCTTCTTTCTCACCGTGATTTCTTGCCTTTCACCAAACACACACTTCCTTGTTTTCTATCCAAAGGGTAGGTATAGTTTTTGTGTCATACAAAAGGTTGTTGTATTTTTATTCTTTTGGTATTGGTAAACTATATTGTTGTAAATTTACAATGATTATAGAAAAATGAGAAATGATTGCCTATTTGATGATGTTTCATGTGTTTACCACATATGCATAAGCCTGCGGAGTTCAAATTTGGTTTGATGCAACTATAGATAAATGAGTGGCTGAGATTTCATCGGAAATTGTGAGATCATCAGTTTGCAAAAGTCAATTATAGTGGAAAAATAAAGTAGTATGAACTTAAAAAGAAAAAAAATCCTACTTGTTTATATAGAGAGAAATATGTAATATCTCTGAATCAATTGTTTGATGTAACTATTTGCTATGGATTTTTTTTTTTATTTTTTTGGAAAACTCGGAAGATAGTTGTTCATTTTTACGGGTAAATTTATTTAATATGATATTAAATATATTTAGACGTATATGTAGATTTAAAATAAATTATTTATTTTTAAAATAAATAATAATTATATAAACTTAATTGTATTAAATAATTATATAAATAGAAGAAAAAAATGATCCGTGATATTTAAAATGAATTATTTAATTTTAAAATAAATAATAATTATATAAATTTAATTGTATTAAATAACTATATAAATAAAAGAAAAAAATGACTTGTGAGAGGGAGAAAAAAATTTTAACATTTAAAAATAAATATTTAGTCTCAAATAAAGATATTTTTTATTAAAATAAAATAGATATTATTTTGATAGTGATCCGTGAGATGAAAAGTTAATTGTTTATACAATTGTTGAGTATTATCTAATTTGATTCAGTATAAAATGTATTTAGTTACATATGTAAATTTGAAAAGAAAAAAAAGAACTCGGAGAAGAAAAATTAACATTTGAAAATAAAGATTTAATTTATCAAATAAAAATAATTGTTGATTATAATAAAAATATATGTTTTCTTGATAATGATATGTGAAACATAAAGTTGGTTGTTAGCATGATTATTGAGTATTATTTAATTTGATACGCTATTTAAATATACATGTAAATTTAAAAACAATTATTTAATTATAAAATAAATAATTATTATATAGAGTTAATTGTATCAAATAATCATAAAAAAGAGACTTATGAGATGGAGAAAGAAAAAAAATATTAATATTTAAAAATAAAAATTTTATCTTTAAAAAAAACTGTTAATTAAAAATAAAATAGGTAAAATAAATCCTTAAAAGAGAGAAATGTGATTTGAAAAGAAAGTGAGAGAAATTAACGAGAGTCTATGAAATTGCATGGCCACATGTCATCCGATAATGAATAGATAGTGTGGATAATTTGCCATTTATGAAATATTAATATATTCTTTTACTAATGTAATAAAGTGACATAAATAAAGACATTTTAATAAGCATGGTACAAAAAACCACAATGCGCTATCAATAGATAACTAGAGAATAATACTATATGGATATTGTTATAATATATAATATGCCCTCAACTAACTCAGGGGCCAGTACATTCAACCCCTTAAAAATAAATATTTAACTACATCTCACAACACTATAATACAAGAGTATAAGAGAACAAAGAAAGTTAAATACAAGCTTAAAGTGCTTTTGACTGATGCATCTTAAAATGAAGAACTTGAATTTTATTTATAGCATTGTACTCTCTCTTCCTTCAGAAAAATTAAACGATGTGAGACTTCAAAGAACTTGTATCCTATATATAATATAGCCTTGAAATCTATCTTCATTCATAAAACTAAGTGACGTGGAACTTCTTCAACATATATATTTTCAACCAACCCCAATAGTTTTAAGTCACCAGTGATCATAAACCCTAATTCTTCACTTGAGCTTACTTTGGCTTGATCCAAAAGGATAACTTGATTTTGAATAACCACCTTGTACTTCTTTGACTGCTTGAGATACCTTTAATAGTTTCTTTACTCAAGTGTAGTTATCATCAAAACCATTTCAATGTTGTTACTATTTCAAGTGTTCTCATCATCAAAACCATGTCATTATCAAATATGAGAAGTTGCTTATTGAATCTTGTTATCCATGAGCTTTATCATTTGGGATCAATTATCTGCAAGCACATAGATCCACAACTATGGTGGTCTAATTTTACTGATTGGGATTACCTTGAGAAGAAGCTTAGGCGATTAAATCAACATCACATATTGCAGATTTTTTATGAGTGTTTCTAGAGATGAGAAGGAATCAGATTCGTGGACAGTGCATTGAAGCATGTATTTGAATGTACGTCACAAAATCGACACATGCATTATTGATCTTATAAATCATATTTAACATCAAACGTGTATTATTGATAAGGGAGTCTACATTCGAAAATTGATTGGTCAAGATCTTGAGATGATTGCAATCAGCTTTATTGGAGGGAAAAATTCTTTAAATTGTTGTTGTTGAATTGGTTCTCGAGTTAGACAAATCTCGAGTGTTTGTTGTTGTGGAACATAGTCACAATATGACTTCAACACTATTCGTCCGATTCGTCAATCACAAGTATAAATTTGAGGATATCTTATGTTACAGTGGCATACATGTTAGAACACAGATTGGTTCTTAATAATATCTCTATGTTTTGATGATAACTATTAGGAAATTTTGTATTTAAGAATTATATACTCTAAAATTTGCTTGAGAGTTTTTACTGCAGATAGCAATGAAATTAACACTCCAGAAGCAAATCTAAATGGTATACAAGAAAGTAACTGACTCTGATGCGCCAGATGCATTCATTAGAATATTCTGATTGCTGCCTATAGAAGATCCTGAGCGTAGCCTCTAGAAGGATCTGAGGCAAGAAGCTCCAGAAGATTCTTAAGCAGAAGCTCCAGAAGAATCTGAAGCAAGCAGAAGCATCTGAAGCAAAGAAGAATATTGTATGAAGAGTTTCTCAAAGCATAGTTTCTACAGAAGTTTCTGAAAGTACTAAAGCTGCCAGTACTGAAGTTCTGTTTCAAATATACTCTGATATTTAACACGCTGAAAGCACACATGCTGCAGAAGACTCTGATACAGCAAAGTTCTGAACATCATCAGAAGACTCTGACTCAATCAGATTCTGATGAACTTGCTGAAAACTGAAGAAGAAATATTCAAAGATTATATCCGTTGGAGTAAATCAAACGTCTCTTTCCTCATTTGTGCTAGACACAAGAACACAAACAAAAAAGATTTTTCTGTGTTTTCTTCTTCTAGGAAAGGTCACTTGATGTGAAGACAAAAAGGCTCAGACCTTTTTGGGACACTCTTCTCAACGCTCAGCTCTCCTTGGATCAGCTGCCTATAAAAGGAAGACTCCACCAAATTCTTCAGTTAGACATTTTGCTGAAAAGAAATTATAACATTCAAGCTCTCATACTTTCATATTCATTTTTAGAATTATTTATACTTAATCTTAAGAGAAATATCACTGTTGTGATAAAAGCTTTTTAGAAGCATTCATACTCTTGTATTAAATTTACATTGATTGTAAAGGATTTCCTTAAGAGGATTCAGTTGGAATCAGTAGCTCTTGAGAAGACTAAGAACATTTGTTCTTAGGTGTTACTATTGTAATCTGTTTGATTAAATAGTGGATTAAGTCCTTGTTGAGAAAGGCAAATCACTCTAGGAAGGGTGGAGTGGAGTAGTTGAGTTCAACGAACCAGGATAAAAATAATTGTGTTTTTATTTCTAAGTTTTAATCTTTCATACTTATTCAACCCCTCTTCTAAGTATTATCTCGCCTTCAGTTGGCATCAGAGCTCCGGTTCTGTGTGTGCTAGCACTTAACAGTGACAGTAAAGATCCAGAGAGAAATACTTTGATATATATTTATTTGTTACAATGGCTGATAATACAACATCCAACATTAACAATAAATATGAAGAAAGGGACAGAATCAGCACCAAACCCCCTATGTTTGATGGGGAGAAATTTGATTACTAGAAAGACAGAATTAAGAGTTTTTTCCTAGGATATGATGCTGATCTATGGGATCTAGTCATAGATGGATATGTCCATCCCACAAATGGGAATGGCAAGAAGATAGACAGAAAATCTATGACAGATGCTCAGAAGAAAGATTTTAGAAATCATCACAAGGCCAGAACTATATTATTGAATGCAATTTCTCATACTGAGTATGAAAAAATTACAAACAGGGAAACTGCTTTTGATATGTTTGAATCCTTAAAAATGACTCATGAGGGAAACTCTCAAGTCAAAGAGACAAAAGCTCTGGCTCTGATCCAGAAGTATGAGGCCTTCAAGATGGAAGACTCTGAATCTGTTGAAGCCATGTTCTCCAGATTTCAGATCCTCACAGCTGGGCTAAAGGTTCTGGATAAGGGATACTCTACATCAGATCATGTAAAGAAAATCATCAGAAGTCTACCTACCAGATGGAGACCAATGGTGACTGCCTTAAAGATGGCTAAAGATCTGAACAAGATCTCTTTAGAAGAACTCATCAGCTCACTGAGGAGCCATGAAATTGATCTTGAGGAAGATGAACCTCAGAAGAAAGAAAAAGGTAATATGTTGCCTTAAAATCTAACAAATCTGCTAAAGCTTTGCAGGTTATTGAAGAAAGCTCTGAAGAATCTTCTTCTTCTGAAGAAGAAGAATTATCCATGCTGTCCAGAAGGATCAACAGACTCTGGAAGCACAAGGGAAAGAAGTTCAACAACTTCAGAAGATCTGATCATAGAAAGGAATCTTCTGGGCACAGAAGATCTGGCAAGAAAGAAGTTGTATGC